AACTGAAGCTGTAGTGGGAACTCCTAAGATTAAGAGATGCTAGTAATGTAGAATGTCTGCCAAGGAAAGCTATAAGAATATAGCAGAAACAAGCTAAGAGAGGTCATGTGGGCTGCAATCAACAAGAACGAAGGGGTGGAGCTACACAAGTTCTTCGGAGGGAACATCATGATGCCATGTGCTCTAGATACTAGACTTGGAGCTATAGAGTTTATATGCCCAGCTGGATTTTGGTTTGCTTTGATGCCATTCCTTCTTTCTATGCCCCTATTTCTCTATTGTGCAATGGAAATGTTTACTCTATGACTATATATATATATATATATATATATATAAAACTAATTTTCACAGGGGCTTACCCTGAGAGTTTGCCTTGAGGTTCAGAGAGGACTTTGGACTTGTACTTTTGGATAGTGCTAAAACTTTTAAAATTGTGGGGACTTTGTAAGTTGTCTAAATGAGTTTTGCATTGTGAAATGGGCACAAGCTTTTGGGGGCCAAGGGTAGAATGTTATGGTTTACATTTACAGTGTGTCCCAAAACTCGTATGTGAGACATTACAAGAATTTTCGAAAGTAAAATGCTTACACTATGAGAGGTGTAACCTAATCAGTGGATTAATTCACCAATGGAATATTGGGTGGTAACTCTGTGCAGGTAAAGTATGACTGGAGGAGATAAGTCCCTGGTGGTGTGCCTTTGGGGTTTATATTTCTGTTGAGCAGAGCTCTCTCTTCTTCCTGTTGCCATGTCCTGGGCTGTTCTCCTCTGCCATGCCTGTCCACCATGATGTTCTGCTTCACTTTGGGCCCAGAGCTATGGAGGCAGCAGTCTATGGACTGAGACCCCTGAAACTGTGAGCCAAAACTTAACTTTTCCTCCTCTACATCGTGCTTGTCATGTATTTTGGTTAAAAAGCTGATTAAAACACCCATCATTCTATGCACTTAAAATACATTAATGAGAAAGTCATTCAGAATTTTAATTTACATTTCCAATATTTGTTCTTCGATGTGAAAAACACTTTAGAATTATAAATTAGTGGATTTTGAAAAGTTTTTAAATAGTAAAACATACCAAAAAATGCCTTGTGAGATTACTCTGAGGGAAACTGATGCTCAAAGAGATTTAATACAATGAAGTTACACACCAACATCTGATACTTTATCCCTTCTTCCTGAATCAAAATGCTGTATTCTTTTCAATTTCTAGCCTCTAGAACTCTCTAAAATATTATAAGCAGTGAAGTACTCAGTTGGTAAGTATTAATGGCACTTATGTGACTTCAGAGTCATATATAAAAGCTTATTGTCACATAGGGAAAGACATTGCGTAGTATTTAGGTCACCATTTCACAGTCTATTCTGAAAAGCCTGCATTTTGGTTAGACAGATTTGGTTTGAGATTTTTCCAACCTCATGTATTCTTCTGTAAAATGTAAATAACAATGCACTTTGGAGAAATTTTGTGGAAAATTATTGGCTACAACACCCCATTTACCTCCTCCTACCATTGGATTCCATCCCACACTCTTTTCTAAGATGCATATTGCTCCTGATGAAACTTGGGTTTCCCTTTTTAAGGCAGAGGGAAATCCTTTTCTCCTCAAGGAGGCAGTATGGGTAGCTTTTTGTGCTTTTACAAATATTGCCATTTTAAAAATGGCCAGAATGGTAGGGCAATTTTTTTTAAGTCATTGGTAATGTTAGAATACCAAGAGCCAGGAAGACGAAGACTAATAGGCTGGCTTTTCCTTTTGAATGTTCTCCAAATACTATCAAGCGGCAATTGAATTGTGCATATCAGTCCTACTTGATGTGTAATGATTGTGGTGAGAAAAGCAGCAAAAATATGATAGCACTGTAACTTAAATTTAAAGAAATAAGAAGTTTAAATTATCCTGTATCAATACTCACAATTGCTGTATAGTAGTTTCTCTTTCTGTATGAGCTATATACTTAGGATATTGTCTAGACTGTAATTCACTAACAAGTTGAACCACCTATATTCTCTTTTTCATAGAAAAATAGAATCCAGGAAACAAATTACATCCATTTCCCATCTGTGAACATTGTCATACTCTGAGTTTATGATATTTGCTTTTGGTTTGGCAGGTCTGCATTTCTGATAAATACTAGGTCACTATTCTTAAATGGAAGCATTTATTTTGGATGCAGAATTTTGTGTACCATGCAGTGTTTGTGAATGTTAAAAAATCCTTTAGTTTTTTTTTTCTTTCCAAACTTATAATTTCCCATTGGGTATTTGATAATGTGTTTTATTGTTCTTGGGAGTCCAGTGGATTGGGAACTTCCCCTAAAGTTGGAATATGAGAATTTGGTATAGGCTTGCCTTTTCAGGACTACAAATAGTTAAATGTAATGACAATTTTATGAAAATAAATGAAAGCAGAAGCCAGAACAGTCTCCAAAACTTGTGCACATGTAGGATTTTAGATGACAGAATCTACTGAAGAGAAGTACTTATTTTAACTGGAATAATTGTTTTTGTATGAAATATTTTTTAAAATCCATGCATTGCTCTCTTTCAGAATATTTTTCACAAATGTAGTTTTACAAAGTTTTACTAAGAATTTGTACAGATATTACAGATATTATTAGAAGGCACACAATGGATTTGGAAGGTAAACCCAGTAGAATTGACTGTGAAAACCTGCTTGTGGTCAGATTAATAGGGGCTTACTTAGAGTACTTGGGTTTCTGTTGAAATGTTTGTTCTCCAGACCTTACAGAAGTTCTGTTCACTGAATTAAAGGATTTCTAGGTGATACATTCTAGCATTCTCCATAATCTTCTTTACACAAAGCTACCAATAAAAACCATAGACTCCTGTTCTCATCCTATTTAAATCAAAGAGTTTCATCGTATCTTAAGTTTTGTTTTGTAATTAGTTGGATCTTGGAAATAATATGACAGAGGCATCCCATCTATGGCACAAGGGCTTTGGAATTAGGAAGTCTGAGAGTGAATTTCAGCTGTCTCTTGTCAGTTATGTCACCATAGGCAAGTTGTTTAATCTTACTGAGCCCAAGTTTGGCCATCTGTGAAATGAAGATGATAGCATTTTTAAAACCTCTTAGGCATCTTTGTGAGATTTGAGATATTCTATATAAGACATGTAGTGACTGGCAGATGTTAAATAAACAATGCTAATTTTGATAATAATGCTAAATCAATGCATTACTATTGAGGACTTTTTAAGTTTGTAGAAATTAAATGTCAGTACATAGAATTTGTTTAGAATTCATGTCAATGGCTTGCAAATGAAAGGTGACATGTATACCACATTAGGTATATACATATATTATAATACTGTTTTGCACAATTTCGTATTCATAAGATGGCCAGATCCAAGCTTTTATTTACAATTTTCTAATATTGAGGCTTCTAAGAATCCAGAACTTAATAAGAAGTCTGTCTCATTTCCTTTGTCATTGTATTACTGCCTTTTCCAGAAAGTTAAAAATGCAAAGTAATTATCTGAAGTCTTAAATGAATAGTTATCCTTGTAGGGTATTAAACTTACTTAGTCAACAGGTTCAATTTAAAGATTTAAAGAGAAGAGGAAGTGTGGAGTAATTAACTTTGAAAACAGGAAATCAACTTGTTCAAATTCTCCAACTGGGTATCTCTACAGAAACAAATAATACTGTTTGCCTCTGCCAATCAGAAAAGCCCCTCCTAGGTCCACTTTACTTTCTTTGTGTTGAAGAGTTTTGATTACACAGCAAAGTTCCTTTTTAAAATGAATATATGTGTGATGATAAATAAATATATATGTGAATGTGAACATATATATTCAAAAGAGTCTTTATTAATATCCTTGATCCAATCTAAGCTAGAACAAAACTGCTTATTTTTTTTACATCATTTGTTTTTACTAACCTGATGCAAGTTGTTAATTGATGAATAAATGGTTACTCAACTATCTCTAGGGCCATGGGACAAATGATGTCCTAGAGAAGATTTGTGTCTGAATTTCAGCTCTGAAATTTTGTCATAAAGATTGAGAGAAGTCACCTGTTTAAATCATTTATTTAAAATACACAGGCAAGGAGAGTCCTAAATTGAAATTTTATACAATAAATAGTAAAACATTTATCTGCATCACTAATAGTTCAAAACATTTATTCACCCGATGGTATCCTGAGGCCACAGGACAGAGCAAGACACACCCGTGGGTGACCGTTTTGGCAGAAACAGGGTTATATGAGAATAGGTTAAAGGAGATGATAGACACAGATGATAACATTAATGAATTTGATTTGAAAAAAATTCTTCAGAAAATAGGAAATTCCCAGAGCCCTAGAGGAGAGGTGAATGTGTATTGGTGATCTGCTGCACGTGACATAAGATAGAGGCAGGAGTGGCAGAAGGTGACTGCTTTAGGTGATAGACACTTTATATTGTGGAGCGGAAGCCAAATGCAGGGATATGATTGATCCATCATCTCAACAGAATCAAGTTACTGGACATAAAGGAAGAGGGAGGGAGAGTAAAATGGAAGCATTTGTCATTGAGTGTGGGTGAAGAACAGGCAGGAAAACAGGACAAATGAAGACATTCAGAGGAGACCTGAATCCTGCTTTGAGACAGAATGAGAACTTTCCTTGTCTCACAGGGACTTGTAAATCTGAAGCTATAGATATATCATTTGTCTCAAGAACAGACTTATACTATCCAGGCAAACCATGCAAAATGTTTACTAACAATCATAGTTATAAAAATGTACATTTCCTGGTTTCAGGAAGGAATGAAAATTCAGCCTATGTAAGTAGGATCTACACAATGTATTACCTGTAACTGTGTCATAGAAATAAATTCCTGTTGTTAAAAGGAAAACAGCATTTGGCTGAAGTATTTTGAAAGGATTATGAGTTACACTAGAATGTATTTATGTCTCAAGTTGCAACAACAGTTGGTATAAATAAGCACCATCTACAAAAATAAAATCATTTTGAAATCATTTGTTCATTACAGTTTTAGCAGTCCAATTTCCTGAGAAATGCTGGAGGGATTGGCTGTCAGTCAAGTGAGACAGATGGTAAGTACTTATCCTAATCTCTGTTTGCTCTAAGTGATCATAATCACTAGTTTTTAATTCATTTTTAAAAGTCTTCAGTTGATTTTTAATTTATTTAATTTCAGTTCACTTCTAGAGAAAGCCTTTGACCTGCTTGAGCAATGTGTATGTTTCTGGATCATCACTGTACTCAGGGGCTAAGGACACCATATTAAATTCCTCCTGATGGGCTGTATTTTTTAGTATGTTTTGTACATGTGTGCATCTGTGTGTGAGTAGCTATAAAGCATACCAAAAAGGTATTGGAAAATGTGTATATAAAATTAAAACTGAAGATAAATATTTTATGATCTGTTAACTTTTTAAAATTGTTTGTGTCAATTAAAACCAAAACTAAACTTGGAGTGGTGGCACACATTGTAATTTTAGTGACTCAGGGGGCTGAGGCAGGAGGATCACAAATTCAAAGCCAGCTTCAGCAATTTAGTGAGATCTGAAGCAACTTAGTGAGACTCTGTCTCAAAATAAAAAATAGAAAGTGATAGGGGTGTACCTCACTGGTAGAGTGCCCATAAATTCAACCTCCAGTACTGCAAAATAAAACAAAAACACTAAAAACAAATAATTTTGACATGTTATAGTGGTAGTGGATAGATATTCCAAAGTTTCTAAAGGTAAAGGCTGATTTAATATTACAATGGCTATTCAACTCTAGTCATATAACTCACTGCTCAAGGAAATTAGACTAAATAAAATTTTTCTTTTATAAATATGCTTGGGCACATAGCAGAGATCACTGCAGGGAAAATTAAGCATCAAGTAACCCTACCCCAATTTGTAGGAAGCAATTGTGATTCTATGGATCATTACTTATAGCAAAGCAAAATAAATTTCAGAAAGTTATGCATATTTTTTCATGAAAATTTATGTTTTCATTGACACATAATTTCAGATAGCAAGAGAACCTAAAACTTTTGTTGGCAGGTAAGAATCATTTTAGATTATTATTACTATATTATTGAGGCAATTTTTTGCTCAACCTGTTTTTAAACATGAAATCCTCTTCCTCATAACTTTTGTTCAGAGAACATAACAGAGTGTGAATAGAGGAAGTTATTGGGTACTATTCTAGACACTCACCTGTATCTTGGAAATAGGATTTGGCACTTTCTTTTGTTATCTTTTCAATACCATGTTTACTTCAAATGAATAACCAAATAACCAAGCTGCATGTTTTGAGGTGATTACAATAAGGTGAATGCAGCATGACCTTCAGAGACCAAAAAGTAGTAGATTAAGTAAAGGTTTCTACTGCTTTTTGTCAAGGCAGGATATTTTGCATGAAAATATGACTTCTCAGCTATTGTCAGAGGATGCTAGCAAACCCAACTCTGAAAACTCAGACTATGCTGGCAAAGTCATTAAGGCTCTGTAATTTTGGTCTGTTGCAAGACAAATGGAGAGCATTACTTTGTGGAAAGCATATATCCAGGCTATCTGACATATACTGGCAAGGGAGGGAGTTGCTCTTCTGGCTTTAAGATTTATTAGACCTGGATTCTGAGCTATCTACTTGCATAGGCAAGGTCTACTATTTTGATTTAGGTCTGTGAAAAATCATCTGGTCCTCATGCTTCAACTGCCACCTTAATTGGCTTGTTTTAAAAGTAAGTTCGTTGATTCACTTTCTGGATCTTTATTGAGTAATTATTTGTGCCAAACTTAGGCATGCGATTCAAGATGACTAAGGAAGATTGCCATGACTCTTGTTCAGTTTCCAGAATCCTATCGGGCATCATTCTAGAAAAAGTACCTATGATCCTAGGGTTTCTGTTACAGTGTGAAAGAACAGAAAACAAATAAATGATGCATTTACAAATGTGTTATCTTAAGTGGTAGTCAGAGATAAGAATCATAATCTAGCAGTACAAAGAGATTGAGAGTGATTTGAAGCATTGTTGTTTTATATAGAGAGATTTGGTAAGGTGAGGAAATAATTTAGTGTAAAGAGGCACATTTATATCTGGGTGAAGAATGTGCTGGTCAGAGGACAGCATGAGGGCAATTATGATGAGGCAAGGCTATTTTTTGATGGATTTGAAAAACAGCAAGGTGAGACTGATTGTAGTAGAATGAATATGGTGTAAAAAGGCAGAGAGAGGGTATCTGAACAGTAGCTAGTGTGCAGGACTAGAGGTAACTGTGGTCCCAAGCCTGAGTACCACTCATGTTTGCCCTGTAGGATCTAGGGAAGGTCTCCCAGCTCACAATTTTGGTGCTTGTCACTATTGTAAAGTCCCACCTTCACTATCACCTGTTCATTGGGGGCTGTGAATGTAAAAGTTCTAGGAAAGCAGCTACCAGTGGCCCTCAACCCTCTTGTACCTGTGCTTACCTGATGGGAACTAGAGTAAATCTTCTTCTCAGGCCTCCGCCTTAGGATGGCAGCTACAGGTACAAACAGCCTCAGCTTCATTCAAACTTGTCCCTGGGGATCAGGGAGGAGGGCTCATTCGTTGTCTTCAGCTCCAGGACTATAACAATTAATGGCACAGACCTTTTCTCCAACAGAGCTTGCCTGTCCTGTCCTGAGGACATTTTCATTCATGCCCTGGAGCTTCAGGAGTGCAGATAGCAAAGCCATATGTTCTATACCTACAAGAGAATGGATAACAGCACCTAAACCCCAAATGATTCCCGCACATGCCCTGGGAGACGGAGGGGAGGAGTCTCTTCATAGACCATGGACTTTGGACCACAGCACGGATGCCAAAACCCATGGTACCCCTTGTATATGTCCTCTGAGAACTGGAGAAGGTGTATGGAGTCCACAGGTACACATGAGTGGCTAATAGTGCTATATTTATCATCAATTTCAATTCACCTAAGGGACCTAGGAAAGGTCCCTTTTTGTGTTCCAAAATCTCAAGTCCATGGTTATTAATGCCATGGTCTCTGCGACCACTTGTACTTATCCAGAAGCATCTGGGAAAGGCCCTTTTCCATCCTGTGCCTCCAAAATTTTGACTTCTGGTACCACAGGCTCAGGTACCTACACCATTTATCCTGAAAATCCTAAAGAAAATCTCCTCCACAGCCTGTGACTCTGGGGCCATGGCTTCTTGTGTCGTTTCCCTTGATATCATCTGGGCTTGGCCTAAAAGGACTTGGGGACAGTGCTTTCCACGTGCTATCCCACCCAAACTGTGGAAACTGCCTTCACCAATTTCAGTGCCATTAGAGCTTAATTCTGTGAAGCCTGAGGACATACACTTTTGGAAACCTATGTCCACTGAAAATGTATACACCTACCTTTATTAACTGCTTCAGTCTAGAATATTGACACCCTCGTAGACCCTGCTGACCATCAAGACGAAGAAATCACAGAAACTATGCTACTGAGTTCTACTCCATCCAAAACCAAAGCACCCATTCAAGAGACATACTATAAACCATAAAATTAATAAGTTCCCCCAGAAAACCTATTTCATAAAATTGGAATAAATTAATGTTACACTAGGTGAAGAGAAATCCATTTAAGACAAAAGAACCATGAATAGAATGACTTCCAAAGGAAAACAATAATTCCCCAGAAATATAACTCATTTTGAAGGAAATTTATGAGAAGTCTGAAAGAGAATTTTAAATAGTAATACTAAGTAAGCTAAGTGAGATACAAGAAAATATGAACAAACAATAAAAATAAATAAGAAAAACAAGACAGGATATAATTGATAAATTCACTGAAAAGATATAAATTATAAAAAAGAACCAGAGATCTTGGGACTAAAAATTTCAACCACTGATGTAAGCAGAAGGAAAGTTTCTGGACTTGAGGATAGGCTTATAAGAGCAAGAGGGAGTGAAAGAGAAGATGAGAACAAGAGAGAAAAAAAAGAGAAAGAGAAGACTTCAAAAAAATTAAGTTTTCAAGACCTATGGGATACCATTCAGAAAAAAAAAAATTGCCTTGTGGGAATTCCAGAAGGTGAAGAAAGGAGAAAAGGCATTGATTATTATTTTATTATTTTATTTAATAAAAATATTTTTATTTCATAAAGTAATAGCCAAAGCTTCCCCAATCTTTAAAGAAATATAGACATTCATATAGAAGAAGTACAAAGGACCCCAAACAGATTCAATTAGAACAGATGTTTACCAAAACATATTATGTTCAAATTTCAAAAGTACATGAAAAAGAGTTGGCCTTTGGTTTTGTGGGATTGGCTTATTTCACTTAGCATGATATTCTCCAATTCCAACCATTTACTGGCAAATGCCATAATTTTACTCTTCTTTAAAGCTGAGTAATATTCCATTGAGTATATATATTCTACATTTTCTTTATCCAGCCTAACTAATTAAATCAATTAAAAATTTTTTTTTAAAAGTACAAGAAAAAGAGAGAATTCTGAACAACAACAAGAGAAAATCATAAAGTCATGTATAAGGGACTGTTAGTTGACTTATAGTAGATTTCTCAGCAGAAACCTTACAGGCTGGAAGAAAATGGATGAAATATTCTTTCATGTACTGAAAGAGAAAAAAAGTTGCTGAGAATACTGTGTTCCCCCCGAAATTCTTCAAAAATGAAGGTGAAATAAAGTCTTTCCCAAATAAGGAGAAACTGAAGGAGTTTATCACCAAAACCCAGTTCTATAAGAAATACTCAAGGGAGTCTTGCACCTTAAATGAAAGGATGAAAACTACATCATGAAACTGTATAAATAAACACTACTCCCTAGAAGAACAGATACATGAAAGAGTAGAGAATCAAACCTTAACATAACATAGAACTACCAAATTACAAAATAATAAGATGTAGATATAAGTAAAAAATGTACAAAACAAGCAGAATACAATTAGCAGAGTGACAGCAGGAAGTTCATACTGATCAACTATAATCTTGAAAGTAGATGGATCAATTATAATCTTGAATTTAAATGGATAAATTCACCAATCAAAATACATAGATTGTGTGTGTATGTGTGTGTGTGTGTGTGTGTGTGTGTGTGTGTATG